GTAGGTACTTGATCATTTTTTGTATAGTGTTTATATTATTTTAATTTTTATTTTGTTAAGAATATTTTTATTGGTATCATTCTTCTCCCATTTGAATATGATGCTTATTCTTTTCACTAATTGGTTCCATCCATATCAAATTTTACTAATATCTTCTACTTCATAAGTTTTCCATCAAAGTCATTTTTTCTATCAAGGCTAATTATCCTATTGGGGAATTTCTGACATATCTATTTTATTCTTCTTTCAGTTTTCATTCAGTATCAAATGTTACCACACAGTTTGAGTGATTACTTTGTGGATTATTTTTATCATGGTTATTCCTCATGAATTAATTATTCCTTAGAGAATATAAAAAGCTATAAAGAGTTTCATGAAACAAAGAGTCTCTAAAAGAGATTCCCCAGAAAAAAAGGAAGCAGGGGTTGGAGCTATATCCTGAATGGTCTGTTTAGCTCTTGAATGTTCCATGGAATGAAAACATCAAGGTCAAACTGTTCTACTGTATACTGTGATGATATAGTGAGCATTTACAAATAACTTACTTATAGCAAAATAAAATGAAGGAGAGGAAGTGGTGTTATAGGACTTTGAGGTGTCACTTGCAGGCCAGAAATCTCTGTGGCTGGTGGCCCCATTGCCCAAGTTCTCATCCTGTGTCCAGGAAGAATGAGGTAGGCAGACAAGTAGAAGGTTAATGAGAAGAGGAGAATCTTAATTGAGTGTTACAACAGCTCAGAGGAGAACTGCAGTGGGTACCTCCTCTGTGTAGGCAGGTCATCCTGTCCAATGTTCAGCTCTCAGCAGAGAGGAAACCATGGAGAGGGTAGCTCCTCTCTGTAACTGGTCATCCCCATGTTTGCAGCTTTAAACAGAGATAGTAGCTTCTCTCTGTAGCTAGCTATCCTTCATTGCTCTATCCTTTGCCTTGTTCTGGCTGAGCCTGGGGATTTTACGGACCTCAGTGGGGGAGACAGTCCATGCCGATTTGTCCATGATTGGCCATGGGAGGGCCAAAAAAGGCACCACAAGTCCCCACTCTGATCCAAGAGACCAGGCCCCCCAGCCTTCAGACCGTCTCTGGCCAGAAAGAGGATCCTTACCAGGGACCCACCCCTTTCTTCCTAGGATCCTGTCTGCCTGATGCCACTGGCCATGGCCCCAGGCTGCTCACATGAAGGGGCATCTGCAGGCCAGTACCCAGCCACACTCAGCTCCCACTCAGATTCCCCTCCCATGCTCCTTAGTGCCCACAGTCCAGAGGGGGGTAAGTCGGCAGGAAGGTGGCATGTCAGCACTGCCCTGAATGTGTGCACACCCAGCCAGACTTTAATAGCATCTGGGCTGGGACCTGCTCAGAGAACAGAACAGACACTGGTAGTGGGGAGAGGACAAGCAATGGGAGCAGGCACCTCAAAGCCTGTAAGGGTAACAGGGTCCTTTCCAGGCCCCCCAAGAATGCAGAGATGCCTGGGTGTGCAGCTCCAGCTTGGGTGGCTGCAACTGCCATGGGGAGTGGGACTCCTGCTTGCTCCATGGAGTGGGAGGCCCTGATCCACAGCCACAACTTGGGCAGTTGCAGCACTGCCCAGGAGGGTGATGCTCCTGCCTACTCTTGGCCTCCAGGAGCACAGGGGTGCCTGGGTTGCAACCACAGCTTGGGTAGCCGCATTTGTACCTGGGAGCTTCTGCCCTGCCAACTTGGAAGGAGCCAGGTTTCCACTCGTCCCCAGCTTCCACCAGCTCTGTGGAGCACAGCACCCTGCTACACCTCATCACAGCCTGGAGCAGGAGCCAGGTCCTCCCTGGACCTGTGCCGAGCAGGGAAGGGGCAACATTGCCATGAGCTCTCCCTGTGGGCCTGGTGCTCGAGGGTAGTCCTGATCTCCTTTTCCCAGGGGCAACCCAGCCCAGCCTCATCACAGCAGCCCCCAGGAGGGCAGGCTGTTGGGGGTTCACGGGTGGTGAAAGGCTCTTCACCTCCTCCCCATGCCTTCCCTGCAGAGTTCAGTATGACGTCAGTGGCTGCACCAGAGGGCCCACTGCTGCCATCAGTAGGTAGTAGTGTAAATAAAGCAAGCTATTCTATAAATTAATAAATTGCTGAAGATGGATAATTGGTGTATGGGAGTTCATATTTTTCTATTACATTTAAAACTTTCTGCTGTAACGTATTTGAAAGATTTTAAACATAATTTTTAACATATACATTTAAGAGCAAAGATTTTTAAAGGGTATAAACCTTCTTATGTTAATGTTCAATAAAAATCTGAGTATATGTTATTAAATTTTAGGCCAGTGAAAACATTACTATGAGGAACTAAATTGAAGTTGGTCAGGCATGCTAATTTCTTGAGATAAAATTATCTGTGTATAACAGGGAAAATGTTGTTGTACAGGTATATAACAAAAAAAAAACTTTATTACCTATTGAGGGAGGTAGCATAATGCCTATAAATTAGGAATTCTACCTCTTTGTTGCTTTCTCCCATTCATAAAGACTAGCCAGAGCAAGGAAAGAGACACAGAATTTTCAAAGCCTGGATCCATACTTCTATGCTATTTAAAAACTGAAAGTTGGAGTACAAAGTCCATCCTTTAGTTAAAAGCTTATTTATGCAACTTGTGATATTAAAAAATTAACCTAAACAAGTGGCAGAGTGATTAACTGCTCTTTATAACAGAAGAAAATGTGTTAGCAGGGTGGCAGAAAGCCAAGCAAAATAAGGGATTCTGATGGTAGTTGCCCCACAGATGAGCACATAGGAGAATTTTAAAATAACCTAAATTTACATAAATGCCAAAGGACAAACAGAAATAACACATATTCAAGTCATGCATGTTATTGCCCAATAAAACTCTAACTCTCACTTTCCTGGATTTACTAATAGAAGCATAAAAGGTAAGGTGACTTCTGATAAACCATAAAAGGACTATAAGGACAAATTTTCACATCTAAGTGAACGTGGAGCAGAAAGAGAGAAATGGTAAAAAAGCAGAGAGTAAACACTTTGAATTCCTGAGTATTAGGAAAAACTGAGTGAAAGGTGACCATCAGAATACTATTTGTCAATCTCTAGGAGTGAAAAAGATTGTGGCTCAAGGTTTCAGGGGATTGGGTGCTGCTATTAAGTAGCATAGAACTAAGACAAACTGCATAGGTGAAGACAAAAGGTTCTTTCAGGCTGTTTCTTTCAACTTTGCTATGGCAAGAGGTAGATAAGAGTTCTCCATTGCTTTAAATATATAATATAATATACATATAGAGAGATATATTATATATTAGAGAGAGAGAGACTTTGTTTTGTTTGTTTTTATGAGACGGGTTCTTACTCTATCACCCAGGTTGGAGTGCAGTGACACAATCATGGCTCGCTGCAGCCTTGACCTCCCAGGCTCAGGCAATTTTCCCACCTCAACCTCCCAAGTACCTGAGACTACAGGCAATTACAACCATGCCCAGCTAATTTTTGTATTTTTTGTAGAGACAGGGTTTCGCCATGTTGCTCAGGCTGGTGTTGAATTCCTGGGCTCAAGTGATCCACTCTCCTAGGCCACCCAAAGTGTTGGGATTATAGGCATGAGCCAGTGTACCTGGCCCCATAGATGTGTTTTTGAGGACTAAGCTCCGATTATTTTTATATCGCTCAAATTCCTATCTAAGGAGTCTGGGGAGTCATGCCCTTCAAATCATAAGTTCTCATCTGATGGGTTTTATTTAATCCTATATATTATAACTTACTTTCCAATCTGACTCTGGCATAACATTAAGTGACAAAGAAGAAAATCAAAACATTTTACCTCAAATCATGTTTCTTTGCCATATTTTGAAATGGCCCTGAAAAGTGGTCCTTTGTGGGGGAAAATTTCCATCTGTAAAGAATGTCTATTAACATAGCCAATAAAATCATTATTTCTTTCAGCCTTCCCAAACCTGAGGAGGTTAACTGAGAGTCTAGTGCCTTTTAAAAGGTCTAAATAGGAAACATTCCTCATCTATTATCTCAAAGGGCAGCTACTATGAGACTTCAAAGGAATCTTGGTCTCCACAATCCTTTATCTTGACCTGAACATTTCCTTTCTATTGATCCCAGGCCTTCAGACAAACTCAGCAAATTGTCAATCAGAAAATGTTTAAATTTACCTATATAGCCTGGAAGCCCCACTACTACCACTCTATGCTCCACTACCACCGTACCCTCCCCTGCTTCAGATTGTCCTGCCTTTCTAGACCAAACCCATGTACTTCTCAGATGTGACTGACGTCTCATGCCTCCTAAAAATGTAAAAAACCAAGCTGCACCCTAACCACCTTGGGCACACATTCTCAGGACCTCCCAAAGGCTGTGTCACAGGCCATGGTCACTCATATTTGGCTCCGAATATATCTCCTCAAGTATTTTACAGAATTTGACTCTTTTCATTCACATTTTAATGTAGGAATATCTCTTTCACTCCCAGTTTCCATAGGCTCTTTGTATTGTGGCAATATAAAACAAATTTTTGGCCAGGCATGGTGACTCACACCTGTAATCCCAGCAGTTTTGGAGGTGAGGTCGAGGTGGGTATATCACTTGAACTCAGGAGTTCAAGACCAGCTTGGGCAACATGGCAAAACCCATCTCTATGAAAATTAACTAGGTGTGGTGGTGTGTGCCTATAGTCCCAGCTATTCTGGAGGCTGAAGTGGGAGGATGGCTTGAGCTTAAGAGGTGGAGGTTGCAATGAGCTGGGATCTCACCACTGCACTTCAGCCTGGGTGAGAGAGCCAGACCTTGTCTCAAAAATAAACATACACAAAAAATACTGAAATTTTATTTTCTTGTCTTTAACACTCAAAAAGGGAAAATAAGAAAAAATAGGTTTTATAGAGTTGGAAGAAAAATGTGAACAGCTTCTACTAGTTGGACATTTCACTAAAGAGGAAAAAACATTAAAATAATAATTATTATGAAAACATAAATGTGTAAAAAAACAAAATAATTATAAGAAATAATTACCTTTTTTTGGTTTAGTGTTTTAGAATATGTACAGCCTGCAAAGCAGGGGGAAAAATATTCAATATTATCTCTTCCACATATAGAAGAATACACTGAAGATGAGCATCTACATTTTTCATTGCAAGGAGCTGTGAGGTTTCCCAACTGCCCTGTTCTATAAAAACAAGATAGAAAGTAATCATATTACCATTGTTTGATAGTTATTGATGTAAATGTCAAGACATCTTGAAATAATTTCTTTTTTTTTAACAGCTTTACTGGGGTCTGATTACAATAAACTGCACGTACTTAGACTAAAATTTGAAAGTTTTTGATATATGTACACACTTGTGAAATTATCACCAAAATCATGCCAACAAACATAATAATCACCTGCAAAAATTTTCTTGTGTCCCTTTGTAATTTACCCACTCCCCCGATCTATTTTCTGTTACTATTCACTCATTTGAATTTCCAGAACTTTGTGAAATAGAATAGTACAATATGTAAGCTTTCTTTGGCTTGTTTCATGCAGCTGGTCTTTATTTGGTCTTTGGTTACATGCTTCCATGTCTCTTGGGTAAATATTAAGATATAGAATGTTTGCATCATGTGGTAAGTGTTCACTTAACTTTAAAAAACATGTCAGTTTTGCAGAAGTGTTGTAATATTTTACGTTTCCATCAGCAGTATATAAGAGCATCATTTGTTCTCCTCACCAACATTTAGCATGGTCTCTTTTTAAAAAAATGTTAGACATTTTAACATGCGTGTAGTAGTTTCATATTTTTGGTTTTAATATGCATTTTGCTAGTGACAAGTGATGTTGATCTTTCCATATATTTGTTTTTAATCTGCATTTTTGTTAAATATCTGTTCAAATCATTTGCCCATTTTTGTTGGATTGCTTATTTTTTAATATTTTGGAAGCAAGTTTTTGTTAGATGTATGGTTTTATGATTTTCCAATATTTTTTCACATTCTATGGCTTGCTTTTTCATATGGTAAACAAGATCTTTCAAACAGTAGATTTTAAATTTTTGACATGGTTCAATTTATCAGTTCATTTCTTTTTGGATTATGTATTTAGTGTTACATCTAAAAGATATTTGTCTCATGCAAGATCAAAAATATTTTCTCATATCTTTGGAGTTTTATATTTTATATGTACATCTATAATCATTTTGAACTAATTATTTTATATGGTATAAGATATGAATTAAATTTCATTCATTTGCATATAGCTATTTAATTATCCAGCATAATTTGTTAAAATTATTGGAACAAGACAAAATCACCCACTTTAAGCAATCCTATTCAAAAGAGTACTGGAAGTTCTAAACAGAGCAACCAGGCAAAAGAAAGAAAGAAACAGCTTCCAAATTGTAAAAGAGAAAGTCACACTATCCTGATCATTGATGATACAATCTTAGATATAGAAAAACCTAAATACTGTATTAAAAAATCTCTTAGATTTGATAAATTCAGTAAAGCTTTAATAATTCAAATCATCCCTGATCATTGACGATACAATCTTAGATCTAGAAAAACCTAAGTAATTCATTTAAAAATCTTAGATTTGATAAATAAATCTAATAAATTTTAAATAAGTCCAATTATCCCTGATAATCGATGATAAAATCTTAGATCTAGAAAAAACTAAAGACTCCATCAAAAATCTCTTAGATGTGATCAATAAATCCTGTAAAATTTCTGTGTAGAAAATTAACATACAAAAAATAGTAGCATTTTTATACACCAATAAAAATATAGCCTGGCCAACATGGTGAAACCTCATCTCTACTAAAATAGAAAAGTTAGTTGGGCATGGTGGTACACAGCCGTAATCCCAGCAACTAAGAGGTAGAGGTGGAGAACAGCTTGAACCCAGAAGGCAGAAATTGCAGTGAGTCGAGATTGTGCCAAGCACTCCAGCCTTGGTGACAAGAGTGAAGTTCTGTCTCAAAAAAAAATTAGTTATATTTTTTGTCTAAAATTACTTCTCCTTCATATCTTGACAGATAATATGGCTTGGTACAAAATTATAGGTGATTTCTTTAGGCCTTTAAAAATATCATTCCACTGTCTTCTTACTTGCATTTGTTTCTTTTTTTTTTAATTTTTTATTGCATTTTAGGTTTTGGGTTACATGTGCAGAACATGCAAGACAGTTGCATAGGTACACACATGGCAGTGTGTTTTGCTTCCTTTCTCCCCTTCACCCACATTTGGCATTTCTCCCCAGGCTATCTCTCCCCAGCTCCCCCTCTCACTGGCCCTCCCTTTCCCCCCAATAGTCCCCAGTGTTTAGTACTCCCCTCCCTGTGTCCATGTGTTCTCATTTTTCATCACCCGCCTATGAGTGAGAATATGTGGTATTTCATTTTCTGTTCTTGTGTCAGTTTGCTGAGAATGATGTTCTCCAGATTCATCGATGTCCCTACAAACGACACAAACTCATCATTTCTGATTGCTGCATAATATTCCATGGTGTATATGTGCCACATTTTCCCAATCCAGTCTATCATCGATGGGCATTTGGGTTGATTCCAGGTCTTTGCTATTGTAAACAGTGCTGCAATGAACATTTGTGTACATGTGTCCTTATAGTAGAACGATTTATATATGCCATTACTCTTATCTCTAGACCTTTATACACATTTTCCTGTCTTTGCTAATTTTAAGATTTTCTTTGTATCACTTATTTTGAACAATTTGATTACAATGTGTTATGGTATAATTTTTTTTATGTTTCTTGTACCAAAGTTTTGCTGAGTTTTTGACATCTGTTTATAGTTGATTTTTACATGAAATATGAAAAAATTTTGTTAATTTGTATTAACTCTATTTTTTGTTTTCTGTTGGATAATTATTGCTGCTAATATGAAGTGCACTTATCAGTTATATTATAACTTTGGATCATATTATCTCACTATAACACAGCATGTTGGCTGGCCAGACTAACCCAGTTAAAGATCAAATTAACCCTTGGCCAGGCCATAGTACTTTAGAAAGGCCCCTGCTCCTAGGTCTTAGCCTTATACAGATGTTGAGAACCAGGATTTACCAGGATTCTTTTACCTAGCATATTCTATATTCTAGCTTCTATATATAGAGTATCACAATATGGCTGGAGTTCTTTCCTGATTTTCATGCAATTTCTGCTTGATTTTAGCCTCCCAGTTTCATAATACAGCAAACTTACTGAGTGAAAATCTGGCAGAGTGTTGCACCATTTGTTTACCTCTCTTTTCCCTCTGATACTATGGTGTTTCTATGTCCTAATTTTTTTCTCTTTAGACTCATATGTCTATTAAAATTCTTGTAATCTTACTAGATACTTTTGCCCAAACTTTTTGCCCAAATTCTCAGCTTCTTGCCAATGTCTAGAATCAGCAAATATCCTCAGGGAAAAGTAGCTGCAAAACGTTGCCCCTCCTCTCCATGGTCTGCCTTTTTCCAGAATTTTGGCCTTTAAATTCCTACTAGCCTAAATAACTCTTTGATTCTTTTAATCAAATCTTTTAAAACAGTATTCAGCTTTGCTAGTCGTTCTCAGTGGGAACATGGGTTTTCCATAAGCTAATCTATTGTTACTGGTAGTAGAAGTCTTATACTGTTATTTTACTTGTTCAGTCCTTTGGTTTTCAATTCCAGTTTTTTCTTTAGTATTTAGTATCAAGCTCTGCCCAGTTCTTTGATTTTGGCATGCTTTAAGGAGATATTACCCATGAATACCTTCAGGTGAACTTTAGTTTCATTCTTTGATGTCTATAAGAGGCAGACAAACCAATTCGGAAACACAGGTAAGACTGGGCTTTGCTCAGACAGCTAGTACTGTCTCCTAGTTGCTATGCACTCAAATATAAAACTTTATTTCTAGGTTCTGACCTCTTCAATGTGCTTTTTATTTATTACTTTATGAATGCATAAACAGTTTTAACAAAATATATTATTATAATATTTGTGCTTTACTAAGAATTTCTAAACTATAGTTTATATTTCTTTTATATGTTCAATAATTCCAATAATAATATGAACATATAAGTGTTACTGGATAGATAATTATTAATTGCCTAAGAAATATGCTGTTAGATTTGATGTAAAAGTCTAATGTACAAGATTACATTTACCCATCATAATCTTCATTGATCCCAGCAAACTGCACTGGATTACAGCGTACAGAAATAATAAACATAAGCAGTATAAGTGATATTGCAGATGTAACAATTATAAATTTCATAAGGGCTTTATAAGACATTTCTAATGTGGAAACAATGACACCTCCCAGAAGATGGCCAAGTGCACCTCCTAGAAGTAAAACAGGTACTAAAAAAAAAAAAAGAGAAAAAGACAATTAAAAATAATCAGCTGATCATACAGATAATATATATATTGATAAAATTCATTTTGCTCTAAAAATATGGCAAACATGTATTTAAACTAAAAGACAGAGAGAAAATGTACAGTTATGCTGAACATCTTAACAAACCTGAACCTTAAAAGAAACAAAAACCTGTGAGTAGGGCTGAAGCCATAGCTTACTGACTCTAGGGCAGTGATGGTGAAGTTTTGGTTCTTTATAGTAATGACATAAAGGACAAACCAGAAATTTAGTCCATTCAAAATGGAAGATGAGAGCTGTCTTTAACAACTTTCTTGTTTTTATAGCTTATCACAAGAGACATGATTATACTAACAAGAGTTCACAGAGATTCATTAACAAGAACTGAACAAAGCCACCCATTAGTTCTATAAATGGATGTTCAATATTAACAATCTCACAACAAAGTGGGACTCTAGAAGAATCATTTTAAGACATTATTTTCTATTCAAGAATAAGGAATTAGAAACAGGTAAGCAAAAGAAAGAGAGAAAAAGGAGAAGGAGGCATGGAGAAGAATAAATATAGTCAGAAAGCAATCAGATGAGATAGCATGGTGAATTAATAAATTGATGCAATTCCCTCTACTCCAAAGATGTAACAATTGTGGATTTAAATATGAATTTAACAACAAAAACATAGGATAATAACAACAAAAAATCCCATACACTAGATTAAATGTACATAAATGCCTGACAAAGACTTGAAAATCAACAATTTTAGAATGCTTTGAAAGATAAATGACATAAAAAGCTCCAGTCTGCAGCTCCCAGAGCAACCAATGAAGAAGCTAGGTGATTCTGACATTTCCAACTGAAGTGCCCAGTTTTTCTCATTGGGACATTAGATAGTGGGTGTACCCAGTGGAAGGTGAGCAGAAGCAGGGAGGGGTGCTGCCTCACCTGAGAAGCACAAGGGGTGGGGAACTTTCTCCTGTAGCCAAGGGAAGCCATGAGGGAAGATGCTATCCAGCCCAGATACTATGCTTTTCTCATGGTTTTGGCAACCTACAGACCAGGAGATTCACTCAGGTGCCTACACCACCAGGGCACTGGGTTTCAAGCACAAAACTGGGTGGCTATTTGGACAGACACTGAGGTAGCTGCAGTATTTTTTCTGTACCACAGTGGCACCTGGAACTCCAGTGAGACAGAACTGTTGATGAAGCCAGGGAGCCAAGTGGTCTAGCTCAGGGAGTTCCATCCCCATGGAACCCACCAAGCTGAGATCCACTGGCTTGAAATTCTCTCTGCCAGCACAGCAGTCTGAAGTGACCTAAGACACTCAAGCTTGGAGGGGAAAAAGCACCCACCATTACTGAGGCTTGAGTAGATGGATTTCCTTTTGCAGTGTTAAGAAAGCCATTGGGTAGTTTGAACTGGGTCAAACCCACTGCAAAGCAGCAAAGCCACTGTAATCAGACTGCCTCTCTAGATTCCTCCTCACTGGGCTCATCCCTGAAAGAAAGGCAGCAACTCCAGTCAGGAACTTATAGATAAAACTCCCATTCTCTGAGGCAGAGTACCTGAGGGAAGGGATGGTTGTGGGCACAGCTTCAGCAGACTCAAATGTTCCTGCCTGCCAGCTCTGAAGAGAGCAGTGGATCTCTCAGTACAGTGTTTAAGCTCTGCTAAGGGACAGACTGCCTCCTCAAGTGGGTCCCTGCCTCCAGTGCCTTCTGAGTAGGAGATACATCCTAGCATGGATTGACAGACATACAGGAGAGCTCCAGCTGGCATCTGGTGGGCACCCCTCTGGAACAAATCTTCCAGAAAAGGTGCAGGCAGCAATCTCTGCTGCTCTGCAGCCTCCAGTGGTGATACCCAGGAAAACAGTGTCTGGAGTGAATGGACCTCCAGCAAACTCCAGCAGACCTGCAGCAGAGGGGACTGTTAGAAGGAAAACTAACAAACAGAAAGCAATAATATCAACAACAATAAAAAGGATACCCATGCAAAAACCCCATCAAAAGATCATCAGCATCAGGATCAAAGGTAGATAAATCTGGAAGATGAAGAAAAACCAGTGCAAAAAAGGCTGAAAATTCCAAAAACCACCATGTCTCTTCTTCTTTAAAGAATCTCAACTCCTCACTAGCATGGGAACAAAAATGGACAAAGAATGAGTTTGATGAATTGACAAGTAGGCTTCAAAATGTGGGCAATAACAAACTCCTCCAAGCCAAAGGAGCATGTTCTAACCCAAGGCAAGGAAGCTAAGAACCTTTATCAAAGGTTACAGGAATTGCTAACTAGAATAACCAGTTTAGAAAGAACATAAGTGACCTGATGAAGCTGAAAAACACAGCACAAGAGCTTTGTGAAACATACACAAGTATCAGTAGCTGAATTGATCAAGCATGAGAAAGCATATCAAAGATTGAATGTAGATCAACTTAATGAAATAAAGTGTGAAGACAGGATTAGAATAAGAAGAATGAAAAGGAATGAACAGGGCCTCCAAGGAATACGGGACTGTGTGAAAAAACCAAACCTACAATTGATCGGTGTACCTAAAAGTGATAGGGAGAATGGACCCAAGTTGGAAAACACACTTCAGGATATTATCCAGAAGAACTTCCCCAAACTAGAAAGACAGGTCAACATTCAAATTCAGGAAATACAGAGACCAAATAGATACTCCTCGAGAAGATACATCCCAAGACACATAATCATCAGATTCACCAAGTTGAAAAAAAGGAAAAAATGTTAAGTGCAGCCAGAGAGAAAGGTCAGGTTACTTCCAAAAAGAAGCCCATCATACTAACAGCAGATTGCTCTGCAGAAACCCTATAAGCCAGAAGAGAGTGGGGCCAATATTCAACATTTGTAAAGAAAAGAATTTTTAACCCAGAATTTCATATACAGTCAAACTAAGGTTCATAAGTCAAGCAGTAATAAAATCCTTTACAGATAAGCAAATGCTGAGGGATTTTTATCACCACCAGTCCTTCCTTACAAGAGCTCCTGAAAAAAAGCACTCAATATGAGATGGAAAAACTGGTACCAGACACTGCAAAATTATTAAAATATAAAGACCAACAACACTGAAGAAACTGAATCAACTAATGTGCAAAATAACCAGCTATGATCATGATGACAGGATCAGATTTACACATAACAATATTAACCTTAAATGTAAATGGGCTAAATGCTCCAATTAAAAGACACAGACTGGCAAATTGAATAAAGGGTCAAAACCCATCAGTGTGCTGTATTTAAGAGACCCATCATATGTTGAAAGACAAGTCGGCTCATAATAAAGGGATGGAGGAATATTTACCAAGTAAATAGAAAGAAAAAAATGTTAGGAGTTGTAATCCTAGTGTCTGATAAAACAGACTTTAAACCAACAAAGATCAAAAAAGACAAAGAAGGGCATTATATATTGATATATAGGGATCAATGAAATATGAGCTAACTATCATAAATATATATACACCCAATACAGGAGCACCCAGATTCATAGAGCAAGTTCTTAGAGAACTACAAAGAGACTTAGACTCCCACACAATAATAGTGGGATACTTTAACACCCCACTGTCAATATGAGACACATCAATGAGACAGAAAATTCACAAGGATATTCAGGACTGGAACTCAGCTCCAGATCAAGTCAACCAAATAGTCGTCTACAGAACTCTTCACCTCAAATAAACAGAATATAAATTATTCTCAGCACCACAGAGCACTTATTCTAAAGTTGACCACATAACTGAAAGTAAAACACTCCTCAGCCAAGGCAAAAATTGAAAATCTTAACAAACAGTCTCTCAGATCACAGTACGACCAAAGTAAAACTCAGGATTAAGAAACTCACTCAAAACCACACAAATACTGAATGGAAACTGAATGACCTGCCCCTGAATTACTACTGGGTAAATTTTAAAATTAAGGCAGAAATAAATTCTTTAAAACCAATGAGAATAAAGACACAATGTACCAGAATTTCTGAGACACAGCAAAATCAGTGTTTAGATGGAAATTTGTAGCACTAAATGCCCACAGGAGAAAGTGGGAAAGTTCTAAAATCAACACCCTAAAATCACAATTAAAAGAACTAGAGAAGCAAGAACAAAAAAATTCAAAAGTCAGCAGGAGGCAAGAAATACCTAAGATCAGAGCAGAACTGAAGGAGACAGAGACACAAAAAAACCTTAAAAAAATCAGTGAATCAAGGAGTTGGCTTTTTGAAAAGATTGATCAAATAAAAGATTGACCACTAGCCAGAGTAGTAAAGATGAAAAGAGAGAATTAAATAGACACAATAAAAAGTGATAAAGGAGATTACACCATTGATCCCACAGAAATACAACTACCATCACAGAATACTATAAACATCACTAAACAGATATACTAGAAAATCCAGAAGAAATGAATTAGTCCTGAATACATACACCCTCCCAAGACCAAACCAGGAAGAATTTGAATCCCTGAACAGACCAATAAGAAGTTTTTAAATCGAGGCATTAATTAATAGTCTACCAACCAAAAAAAAGCCCAAGACCAGAAGGATTCACAGCCAAATTCTACCAGGGGTATAAAGAAGAACTAGTACCATTCTTTCTGAAATTATTCCAAATAATAGAAAAAGGGAGACTCCTCCTGAATTCATTTTATGAGGCCTGCATCATCCTGATGCCAAAACCTGGCAGACACACACACACAAAATTTCAGGCCAATGTTCATAATGACCATTGTGCAAAAATCGTCAACAAAATGCTGGCAAACTGAATCAAGCACCACATTAAAAGCTTATCCACCATAATCAAGTCAGCTTCATCCCTAGGATAAAAGGGGGGTTCAACATATATAAATCAATAAATGTAATCCATCACATAAACAGAACCAAAGACAAAAACCACATAATTATCTCAATAGATGCAGAAAAACTCTTCTATAAAATTTAACAAGCTTCATGCTAAAAAACACTCAATAAACCAGGT